AACTTCCTCCTCTGTGCTCCAGAAAGTCTTTTCTTAGTAATAGGTAGTTTATCTATGCTATCACTCTCCTCATTTGCTCTACTTCATCCTTTTTGGTATTTGCTATAATGGTGTTATTATTATCATCTGAGGATTCAGAGTCGGATCCCTCACCTATATTTAAAGGCTGAGGTAGCTTAGAGCTCACTCCGAGTACATCCTTCTCTTTCACCCCTATATTTTTGCCAGTGGCATGCTATACACTTGACGCATTGTCCGCCACGGAGGCCAAGGTACCTACCTCCGTAGTAGTATTTTGCTCACGATTGCAGGATGACGACGGCACGTGACTCGCGAGTAGATCAACACTTGCCACCGGTACTGGGTTATTTAGGCCCTGCACCGTAACTTTTATCTTTTTATTTTCCATATTTGTTTTTTCCAGTTTTTGGTCCGCGGGTAATATAATATTCCAAGGTGGTGGACAATCTGTTCTCCCTCAGCTTAAGTGAAATTAAAGCTTAAGTGAAATTAAAGCCACCCGGGGACGCGCTCGGTAGAAAAAACGGGAAAACTACCCCCGAGATTTAGCGCATTACAAAGGACACAAAAATGTTGAATTTTTTCGAAATATGTAAAAATTATCGTAATTTTAAGAATATTTCGATCAAAAAGTTTACAAAAATATTTAGCGTTTTATTTAATGCCTTTTTTAATTTATTTAGGAATTCTAAAGCACTAAAAGTAATTCTGTGGATTAAAATTACTCTAAACAATTTTATGATTATTTTTCCCGCAATGAACTTAAAATTACGAAATTTTTAAGACACATTTCAAAAAAATTTAGGAAACTTTTTTTTTATAATTTGTACTGAGATCATGATTTTCAATAGCTGGGAAAGTTATTTTTCTATCTTTTTCGAGTTCACTAAGACAATACACATCATTTGAGACTTGTGCCTACTTTAAATTCACAAAAAGCTGTTTCTCGGGACACTCTTCTTTACGTTAGATATTAGGCTTAGACATTTTTTGAGATACATTTTTCAAAATTAAACGATTAATCAAAAATGTTAAAAAGGTTCAATTAATTTTGTATTTGAATCATACAAATTTATTATCAAATACGTATGTATTTAACAACAAAAATAGAAAGAAATAAAAATTTTGTATATGAAATCAATCAAAAATGTAACTTCAATAAATAAAATAATTGAAAACGAGGTTTTGATGGGTGGTGGATTTTTCAGTTTTTCCTGTGAATATAAATAATTTTAAAATTATAATTTTTAGTTAAATTTCTTTAAAAAAATATATGTAAAAAAGATACATACATATGTACATATGTATATTATTTTTATAATTGTTTTTCAGATAAATAAAATTAATATAAAAATATTCACTAATTTATTATTCATTTATCACATATTTTTCTTTTGTTTTGAAATAATTCTTATTTAATATAAAATTTATATATTATAAATAAACATACTGCATCAATATAGATTCTTTGTATTACTATAAGTAACAACAAATAGTCAAAAATATTTGTAGTACAACAGTTAATTGAGAGCAAGAAACAAATACAATACAGTATTCAACTCAAAACCATAAGCAACCCAGCGGTAAATGAAACAAAGTACTTAGATAATATTCGATGACATCAGTATGACGTTCTAAGCGAGCAATCTAAGTACTTAGAGTGCAATGTATGCGTAATCCAACATATCATGCACTTTAATTATAACATAGATTACGATTTAAGCAGAGAGTTAGCTGCCTTTTTCATGTTGTTTTTTGTTTTTATATCTTTTAAAAAAACAGAACTAAAGTACCGTTTTATTTTTCTTTTGTATGTATAGGTACTACATGAAAAGAATAATATTTTTGTTTCAGTTTAAAGTTGATCTTTTGTAAGTGAAGTTGTGTTTTCTTAAAAAATTTGTTTTATTGTAAAAATTTAAAATAATTGTGGTGATCTAAATGCCACAAACGGATTTAAAAATTGGGGTGAATTTACTTCATACATTCTAGTTTTAATACTGACAATTTCTTCTTGTTTGTTTACAGGATCTGTAAAGGAAGATGGCCGAAAGTTTCAAAAGAAATTAAGATTCATTTCATTTATCTTCGTTAAACGTGTTTAATTATATTTTTATTGAATTAACTATAATACATGTTTATTATTTGATGATAATTTTTAAATAAACTTACATAATTTGAAATAAACGTAAACAAAAAATATATTTTTTCTATAACAAAATCGGAAGACATGGTACTTTAACTTACAAATGCAAATAGGATTGTAATCTACATACATTACATTCTTATTTGCAAGCGTTTATAGGCGTCTCATTAACTTCGCTTAGAACTCCACACATTATGTAAGTGAAATTTTAATTTGTCTTAATGAAACTGTGGCTTACATTCTAAGCGAGAGCACATCGATGAGGCAGCCTAGGACACTTTTATGTTAAATCTAAGTGGAAGAATAAGTGAAAGCATCACCACTGACTGCCACGAAATATCACTTAGATAAGCGAGTACATAATGTGTATTTTTACCGCTGGGAACTGGTATTGTATTTGTGGATAGAGTGGATGAGCACAAGCAAAAGCATACAATATCAGTTACACTCATTCTCTCGTTTATAATTATAGTATTTGGTACTCACCATGGTGTTTAATATGTATATTTAAAGACGTTGCGAAAATCGACAGTATTATTTAGGTTTATATAAAAACTTTTTTTAGATACTAGAACATTTAACGTATTTATGAACACCAAAGCCTATTTGGAAGCAAAATTGTAGTTCCAAGATTTGCTTTTCAATAATATGAACTGTATATGTTTCCAACAATTTGAAATCTATTTAATTTAGAACAAATTCTAAAATTTTTTCTGGTGAGGCCTGTCAATGGAAACATTTTTCCAAGATACTTCTCGATATAAATTTAAGGGATCAAAATTAAATATAACTAGTAAGAGAAAAGGAATGCTTCCTTATAAATAAACATTGATATTTATGAATTTCATTATCATATATCGATATTAATGTGTGCAATATTTAAAAGTAGTCCTTAAATGGGGGCTTAACTATAGACAGTGATCTTCCGAATTAAAAAAGTATTAATTTTTAAAAACAAATCATTTATGTCCAATTTTTATAACCATAAATTAGTTTTTGTAAGAGGGGTTCTATGGGCGGTAGGGTCAAATATGGACATATCCTCCTAAAATTTTTGTACAACGATTTTGGTTCATGCTGATCTTGCTGATTTCGAATTTCATCACTGTAAGAAAGTTAAAGTCACTTTAAAGTAATTTTTCATATACCCATCCTCATCAAATTCGCTTAAAACATTATGTTTCATACAAATCTTGTGTATGTCGAATTTTATCGCTGTACTTGCATTTTTCAGGCAGTAATGAACGTTGAAGTCATTTTCTTAGAGGGACCTTATACGGAGGTAGATTCAATAATGGACGGATCCTCATAAAAGTAGCTAGAGATATTTTGACTCATACAAAAACTTGTTTATATCGAATGTCATCGCAGTACTTGTATTTTCAAACCAACAATTAGCCATAAAATAATTTTCTATGGGGCGTAAGGTCAATGAACCGATCGTGGCTGCAGAGAGCTTATATGGGGTAGGGTCACCTTTGGACCGATCCTTATAAAATTTGGTAGAAAGATTTTAGCTCATAGAAAACTAATATATGTCGAATTTCATTGATGTTCTCGTATTTTAAGCCAGTAATGAGCGTTAAAGTCATTTTCTAAAGAGGACTTATATGGGGTCTAGAGTTAATTATTGGCCGATTCACGTAATTTTATGCCAGTAATAAGCATTAAAATCATTTTCTGAAGGGGATCTTATATGGGGGTAGGGTCAGTTATGGACCGATATCATCCATAAATTAGAATTTAATTTCTGGAAGTTAAAAACTGACTTGTACGAAATCTTGTCGCAATTGCTACATAATCAACGAATTTTGACTGTTTGAATCTTATTGCATAATATTCCGGAGGTCCATTTTTATGGGAGCTGTGTGAAATCGTGGACGATTTTGCCCATTTTGAACACCAAAATTTTCTGATAAAGAATATTTTGTGAAAGTTTAATCTTCCTATATCTTTTTTTGTGGACGCTATCGTGCCAACAACAGACATATAGACGGACATAGCTAGATCGTCTTAGAATCTTACGCGGACCTTGAATATATATCCCTTTCAGGGTCAAAAACAATTTATGTCGAGAAAAAACATGAAAACATATATTTAAGATAGTTTGAGTATGCTGAATCCGGGAAAAATAATATTTTTTGAATTTGAGTTTTCCCCAGTGAGTTATAGTAGGTCAAAGTTAAATGTCGAATATATTCGACATTCGAAAAACCGTCACCAAAAAGTACCACTAATATTTTTTATGAAAATTGTATTGTATTATATAAATACAATACAATTTAATTCTGTATAGTCCGATCTCCTAAAATACAATTGTTTATCCTGTTTTTAAACGTTGTTAAAAAGTGATATTTTCTTAAAACCTGCTTTTAAAATGCTTTCGATGTGTTACACACGGAATGACAAAATCAATATACCCCCCATCTTTTTTGATGGATATTAAATTGGAGTATATCGTTACCTAAAACGCAAACGGCCCTATCTAACATTTTTAAAATTTTACAGGAGAAACAAAAAACTATTTAAATTGAAAGGTTTGTTTTTATCAACGCGAGGAAATAACAAATTGTTTAATATTGAAACCTATCATTTGTTATGATAGTTGACAATGGCGTATATAAAAATAGATAAATTGGACTTTTAACCTTTAATATTTAAATGTTTTTGTAGATAGGGCCTTTGGTTTTTGTTAATAAAATCGATAATTATGGTCGGAGGAGTTCAATTTTAGGTGTGGACATTTGCGTTTTAGGTGACAATATGTATGTAAAAAAATTTATCAAAATAAAAATTTAAGTTCCTTTTTATATGCTTTCTAAATTTTAGCATATGATGTGCATGCCGATCTTGAGGACGTGAATTGCGATATTGAAATAAAATCTAAACTTATTGAACAGTTAGAATTATCACATAAAAGAATGGAACTTATGAAACAACACTATGAGGATAAATTAATGCTTCTAAGCTCAAAAATATTGAATACACAAAAAGAACGTGATGACGTTTTGGCTAGTATTG